CCTACTCTTGACTTTTTTGTTATGACGGCACTAGAAAACAAAGACAGTAGGTGTATTTAAATGAATATTATATAAAACCTTGATAGTGACTTATAGGTTTTAAATATATACACATATGTATACACACGTGAGAGAAGTTTATAAGTTGTAAATACGGTAAGTGGAGTCAGTGTTTTAAGGTTCCCAGAGAAGGGTAAACATATTGATTAACATTGAACTTTGATAAGTCAGCTACACATTATAATTTCTAAACTAATCACTAGAAGAATAGACATAGAGTATGTAACTTCCAGTTTAGTGGGGAGTGGTGACTGGAATGATAAGAAATCATCCAAAAGAAGGCAAATGGAAAGTCCCTGGTAAAATCATAGATTTAAATATGAGTAATTACTTCCAATAATAGGCCAAGTGCTCCTGTTAAAAGATGAAAATGTCAAATTGGATTTTTTAAAACCCCCAACTGTATGCTGTTTGCAAGACGCCCATCTAAAACATAAGGATTCAGAAAGGTTGAAGGTAAAATGATGGAAAAAGATAAACCATGTAAATATTAACCTAAAACAAGATTGTATAGTATCAGAAAAAATATAAGGCAAAAAGCAGTACTACAAACAAGTGTCATTTTATGTTACCGTGTGAGTAACTCTAGTTGCTGTAACAAAAACCTGAATATTTCAGCTTATTGTGAACATGTTCATTTATTGCTCACACAGAGTCCAACAAGATAGTCCTAGTTAGCAGATTGCTTTCTATGTAGTCATTTAAGGATTCAAGTGTCTTCTACCTTGTGACTCTGCCATCTCCTAGGACCTTGGAGTATTTTGCAGGATCCTTTGCATTTGGGGAAGAGAGAATCACGTAAGTGGTCATGGGCCAGGCCTGGAGGTGTACATATGTTTACATCCCATTCAGCAGACCTCAAGTTGTATAACCAAACTTAACTTAAGGGAGACTGGGAAATATAACTGTGTCCAGGAGGTAGAGGAAATTATTTTAGTGAACATGTAGTCTCTACCATATTTTATAATGATAAAAAGTTAGCAATCCCAAAGGAAATCATAATAATTTAACATGTAGATGAGCATAATAATACGACTTCACAATATACAATGTAGAAATTGACATGCACCCAAGGAGAAATAGACAAACTTATAATCATAGTAGAGATTTCAACAAACATCTCAGTAATTGATGAAACAAGCAGGAAGGACCCTTCCCCCAACCTTCACCCCCAAAAAGATCTGTAAAGACAAAAGTTTTAAACAGGATTAATAACTTTGGTTTAATGTACACATATAGAACATTCTGTCTAAAAACTGCAACATATACTTTATTTTAAAGCAAACGGCATTTATAAACAATTGCCCAATACTGGGCCATAGTGCAAGTCTCAGTAAATTTCAAAGCATTGAAATAATACAGATTATGATCTCTAACATCAGTAGACTTGACCTATAAATCAGTAACAAAAAGATAATTATAAAATCCCCAAGAGTTTAAAAATAAAGAAATATTTTAAAATAACCTATTGGTCAAAGAAGATGATGTAATGCAAGTTAGCAGATATTTTTAACTGAATGATAATGAAAATACTGTACATCAAAATTTGTGCAATTTGCGAAAGCTGGACAATGAACAAGGAAGACCAAAGAAGAATTGGTGCATTTGAGTTATGGTGGTGGTGAAGAATATTAAATATACCATGGACTGCCAGAAGAACAAACAAACCTGTCTTGGAAGAAGTGCAGCCAGAATGCTTCTCAGCAGGGAGGATGGTGAGACTTTGTCTCACCTACTTTGGACGTGTTATCAGGAGGGACAAGCACCTGGAGAAGGACATCATGCTTGGTAAAGTAGAAGGTCAGCAAAAAATAGGAAGATCATTAATGAGCTGGATTGACACAGTGGTAGCAACAATGGGCTCAAACATTGTGAGGATGGCACAGAGCTGGGCAGTATTTTGTTCTGTTATGCATGGGGTCACTATGAGTCTGGACTAACTCGACAGCATCTAACAACAACATAACAAAATTTGTAGAATACATAGCCTTAGAAAAGAAGAAAGGCTCAAAATTAAATAGGCTAAACATCAGAATTAGAAAAAGACAAAAAAACAGGCCAGAAGAAAATAATAACGAGAATTAATCAAGTGGAAAACTTAGGTAGAAAAGATCCACAAAGCAAACAAATTGTTTATTTTAAAAGTCTAGCAAAACTGACAGACCTCTGATAAGACTGATAAGGAAAAAAACAGAGGCACAAATAATCAATGAAATGAAAGGAAAAATGGAAATCACTATAGATTCATTAGATTAAAAATATCGTTAAATAATATTATAAATAGCATCATGCCAGTATATTTGAAAATTTAGATAAAATTAATTTCTTACAAAATACAACTTAATAAAAGTGACTGAAGAAGAAATAGAAAACCTTGAGTAATCCTATAACCACTTTAAAATTTGAATCAGTAATTACACATTTTTAGGCACATATGGCTCCATTTTATATTCCACCAGACTTTCAAAAGGAAGAAATCATTCCAGTTTTACCCAAATACTTCTTGAGACTAAAACAGGGGTTGCTGCTGCTTAACATGTTTTATGCGGTTACCATAACTTTATTACTAAAGCCTGACAGGGATAGCATATTCAGTGAAGTGTTTATAGTGGACACGTAAATTACAGCTATTGATTTTTAGTTCTCTTGCCAAAGAAACGTTCAGGCCTAATCTTGTTCATTTGTCGAGAACTGTAGTCCAGGTTTGGGTGATAAATGGCTCAGAATTAATAAAACTGTGAATGAAAGAATTTTGGGAATGTGTGTATGTATGTATATATGCGTGATCTATGCATATTGACCCAGGCAGTTTCTTGAGTAGATTAAAACCCATGTTTTTAAATATTTGATTGTATCAGTGAGGGCTCATTGTGATGTAAATTTTAGAAAACTTGACTGTAGCTGTTCAAGTTAAAAATGGGATTTATTGACTCACCTAAATCTAAGGTGGGGCTGGCTGCAGATGTTCCCGTTCAGTCAGTTTCTTCCCTAACATCTTTGTCCGTGTTTGCTCTGTTCTCAGACAGGCTCTTCACTCATACTTGCCAGAGGGCAGTGTCAGCTCCAGACTTGTGTGTGCTTTTTGGGAAAGAGTGAGAGTCTCTTTCAGTCCCAGAGCGGGAAGAAAAGACTTTGTTAGTTATGACTTGGTGGATTGTGTGTTTATAGAGACGAACCTATCTCTGCCCAGGAGAACAGAATGCTTGATTGGCCAGGTCCAAGTCACATGCTTCCTCCTGCACCCAGAGTTGGAGTCAGTGCCTCTGGAAGCTTGTGGAGTGAGAGTGGGCAAGAATGTTGTTATTAGGTGCTGTTGAGTCGGTTCCGACTCATAGTGACCCTATGTAGAACAGAACGAAACACTGTCCAGTCCTGTGCCATCCTCATCTTCCAAGGAAAGAATATCTGGAGAGAAATCAAAGTACAGTAACCATAGGAAAAGTGAATGATTATGTGGTTGCAAAATTAAATCTCCATTGCAGCAGTTGCCAGATATAAGATTTCATGGATTCTTTGTTCAAAATAATTACAAAATTCTATATAATAAAGAGTTCTTAAGATACCACTCCACAACCATTCAGTTAGCAAGATTTAAAAAGTCTGAGAAGTCTTGAAAATGTTGAGCAACAGAAACTCTCTCATACCTTTCTGGTGGGAGTGTAAATTGTTATCACTGCTTTAGAAAATATTTTGACTGTATGTAGTAATTTTGAATCTCTACTACCAGTAACCTAGCAATCACACTTCTAGATATGTACACCAGAGAAACGCATGCCTATGTGCTTGAGATATCTGTAGCAAAAAGATCTTAGTATCATTTGTAATTGCTCCAAAGCAGAAACTGCTCAGAGGTCCATCGGCAAGGGAATAGACAGGTGAGTTATGGTGTATTTATACAATGGATTGTTACACAGCAATGAAAATAAACTACAGGTACAGCAAGAATAATGTTGAGCCAAAAAAAAGGCAAGACAAAAGAATACATGCAAAATGATCCCATTTATATAAAATTCAGAAGCAAGCGAAAATAAACTATATATGTTAGGGCTATGTACCTATAAAGCTCTAAAGAAAAGCAAGGAAATGATAACCATAAAAGTTAGGGTTGTTTTTAGATGCCATCAAGTTGATTTTGACTCATAGTGACCCCATGTATCAGAGCAGAAGTGCCTCCCCTTAGGGTTTTCTAGGCTGTAATCTTTATGGGAGCAGATCACTGGGTCTTTTCTCCCTCGGAGCTGCTGGGTGGGTTCAAACCGCCAATCTTTTGGTTAGCAGCCAAACGCTTAACCATTGTGCCACCCAACCCCCCCTGTTGCCGTCCCGTCGATTCCGACCTGTAGACATCCTACAGGACAGAGTAGAACTACCCCTTAGGGTTTCCAAGGAGTAGCTGGTGGATTTGAACTGCTGACCTTTATGGTTAGCAGCCAGTATCTTAACCACTACACCATCAGGGCTCCATTGTGCCACCAGGGCTCCTTAAAAGTGAGGGTGGTAGTTACTTAGAGGAGAGAAATGGATTTGGGATCAGAGAGGGGCACCCAGCCTTTCTGCAGTCCTGGCAGTGCTCCATTCCTTGGCCTGGGTGGTAGTTACACTAGTGTTTGTGTAGTAAATGTTTATGAAACTGTACATATATGTTTCCTCCACTCTTCTATGTGTATATAATATGTATATAATACTGTGTGTACATAATATTTCACGATAAAAGTGATTTAAAAATGAAAATAACCTGGAGATATGTAGATTTGTAATTCGAGTCCAACTAAAAAAGGGGGTTGATAACTCAAACCACATCTGCATATAGTGTGGTTAAAATGTTTTATCTTAAACTTCTTAGTTGCATTTTATGGAAATTTACATTTTGAAATTCTATTTTGAAAAGCTTTCAAAATTCTGCAGATGAGAGTTGACCACGTGTTATGCTTCCTTCCTAGATAAGGGACCCCACTGCTTTGTTTGAAGGAGGACAAGTTTGACACTGCTCACATCTTTCCTTATTGAAGTATCCTCCTCCTGACCAAGCTTGGATAAACCTTCCGACGGCATATGACACACAGGTACGTCACTAGAAAATGTGAATTTGCATAGATTTCTTCCTTCAGCTGTTACTTCTTTGCATAAAAATAATTAACTTCAAAAGCATTCTTTGGGGCTTTAGCAATTTTATTATTTAACAGATGCATTTGCTTATCTTCTACACATACGGCACTGTGTTTTGGCTTGTGTCTGATCTCATTTTTATTTTTCATTTTTCCAACATTAGACTTTGAGAATAATAGACATTGTACCTGATGACCCAGTGTCTTTGTCTCCTTAGGGCTGCAGTAACAAAATGCCACAAAGTGGGTGACTTTAAGGAATAGAAATGTATTGTCTCCCAGTTCTGGAGGCTAGGAGTTCGAACCCAGTGCATCAGCAGGGCCATATTCTCTCTGTTGGCTCTAAGGGAAGATCTTTCCTTGTCTCTTCCAGCTTCTGGGAACCCTGGGCATCTTTGGCGTTCCTTGGCTTGTAGATGGATCTTTACATGGCATCTTCCCCCTGTGGGACCCTCTCTGTGTCTGTTCTCCCCTTTGTAAGACACCACTCAGAAGGGCTTAGGTCTCTGCCTCATAGGCCAGCCTCTGAAGCTCTCAGCCCCACCTCCCCTAGAAGGGGGCCCAGTGCAGAAAAGGTGCCGCTGGCTGACGGAGGAGCCCCATGCCTGCTGAGAATTGCATCTTTTGACACAGAACTGTTTGCTCCTTAACCATCTTTCTCTAGGAGTTTGAAAGGAAACAAAATACCCTGTGTTTTAACCTCTAATTTATGATTGAGTGGCATTTTATACTTGAAATTAAGAACTCTTTAATACGGTAGAACATTAAAATGAAAGTAAAATGGGTTTGAAATGTTGACATCCAAAGTGAGATTTAATACCTAGTTCTTTTTAATAAATTGAAAAGTATTAAGAAAGCTGATATTTGAAATTTCATCCATGATCACAGTACTATCACAGTACCATTCAGTTTTCCCCAATAGTCTCCATTTTTTTCATAGTTTGTTTGAAGCAGGATCCAAATAATTGCAGTCAGTTGATATGTCTCTTGTCTCCTTTAATCAATAGATTGCTTCCTCCGTATTTCTTTTTTTCCTTGCATTTTGTTTGTTGGAAAATCCAAGCTATTTGCCCTATAGACAGAGGTTTCCATATTTTGATTTTGCTGCTTGCATTTAAAATGTTCTTCTGTCCCTGTATTTCCTGTAAAATGCTGTGTGGATCCAGAGACTTGACCACATTCAGGCTCAGCCTTTAAGCATGGACTCCCCATCGCTAGGTGGTAGTGTGTGCTTCCCCTACAGGCTCACAGTGTCTGATTGCCTCTTTTGTGGTGTTAGCTGCCTGGGATGATCATTGCCTGGATTCACAATTCGTCGTTGTTGTTGTTGATTGCCACCCAGTTGGCTCTGACTTACGGCAACCTTATGTATAATAGGACTAAATGTTACCCAGTCCTGCTCCATCTTCATGATTATTGGTGTGTTTGAGTCCATTGTTTTCCCTGTTGTGTCAGTCCATCTCCCTGAGGGTTTCCCTTGTTTTTGCTGACCCTCCACTTTACCAACCATGATGTCTTTTTCTAGCGATTGGTCTTTCCTGATGACTTGTCCAAAGTAAGTGAGCCAAAATCTCACTGTCCTCACTTCTGAGGAGCATTCTGGTTATATTTCTTCTAAGACTGATTTGTTCATTTTCCTGGTAGTTCACGGTATATTCATTATTCTTTGCCAGCACCACAGTTCAGATGTATCTGTTATTCCTGGGTCTTCCTTTTTCATTGTCCAGTTTCCGCATGGCTTGGGTCAGGTGCACCTTAGTCATCAAAGTGTGACATCTTTGCTCTTTAAAACTTTAAAGGGGTCTTTTGCAGCAGATTTTCCCAGTGTAGTATGTCATTTGACTGTTGGCTTCCATAACATTGATTGTTGATCCAAGTAGGATGAAATCTTTAACAACTTCACTTTTTTCTCCATTTAGAGGTTGCAAAATGATGATTTGTCATTTACTCTTCCTTGATTAACTATAATACTTTGGAGAGAGAAATTATCAACTGTTTGTTACCCTAGGGGACAGTTCCTATAGGAAGGGCAGAATAGATGCTTGATTCTTTCTCTTTACTTGTCAGTTTTCAAAATAACAAGATGGTTCCATAGCATACTCTAAAAGTGACCAATAATTGTTCTAAGTATCATTATAAACTCATACATGTTTTAATCCATTGCTGTTATTATCTTTTCCCCCCATCTCTGTCAGTCAATTCTGACTCATAGGACCTTATAGGACAGGGAGAACTGCCCCATAGAGTTTCCAAGGCTGTAATCTTTTTTTTTATGTTTCAGTATTTTTTTTATTGTGCTTTTAGGTGAGAGTTTATGGAGCAAATTAGTTTCTCATTAAACAATTAATAGACAAATTGTTTTGTGACATTGGTTGCCAACCCTGCGATGTGTCAACACTCTCCCCTTCTCCACCCGAGGTTCTCTGTTTCCATTCGTCCAGTTTTCCTGTCCCTTCCTGTCTTCTCATCTTTGCTTTGGGGCTTGTATGCCCATTAGTCACACATACATGATAGAACTACAGAGCGCATTCCTCACATGTGTTATTGTTGTTCTTACAGACCTGTCTAATCTTTGGCTGAAGGGTGAACCTCAGGAGTGACTTCATGGAGTTAAAAGGGTGTCCAGGGGGGCCATACTCTCAGTGTTTATCCGGTCTCTGTCAGGCCAGCAAGACTGGTCTTTTTTGTGTGTTTGTGAATTTGAATTTTGTTCTACAGTTTTCTCCCACTCTGTCCGGGACCCTCTATTGTAATCCCTGCCAGAGCAGTTGGTGGTGGTAACTGGGCACCATCTAGTTGTTCTGGACTCAGTCTAGTGGAGGTTGTGGTAGTTGTGGTCCATTAGTCCTTTAGACTAATCTTTCCCTTGTGACTTTGGTTTTCTTCATTCTCTTTTGCTCTAGCTGGGATGAGACCAGTAAATGTATCTTAGATGGCCGCTTGCAGGCTTTTAAGACTCCAGACACTACTCACCACAACTGGATGTAGAACACTTTCTTTATAGGCTGTGTTATGCCAGTTGAGCTAGATGTTCCCTGAGACTATGGTCCCCAGCCCTCAGCCTAGTAGCTTGGTCTCTCAGGGCATTTGGATGTGTCTTTGAAGCTTCTATGACTTTGCCCTGGTCAAATTGTGCTGACTTCCTCAGCATTGTATACTGTCTTACGCTTCATCCAAGTTACCACTTACCTGCTATCTAGTTAGCATTTTTCCCTCCCCACCACTCCTCTCCCTAGTAACCATCAAAGATTGTTTCTTCCTGTGTGGAAACTTTTTTTTTTTTATGGTACTTCAGGTGAAGGTTTATAGAACAAATAGTTTCTCATGAAACAGTAGTACACATATTGTTTTATGACATTGGTTAACAACCCCATGACATGTCAACCCTCTCCCTTCTTGACCTTTTTTTTTTGGTGAAAATATACATAGCCAAAGATACACCATTTCAAAAATTTCTACATGCACAGTTCAGGGACATCGACTACGCTCTTCCAGTTGTGCTGCTATTCTCAGTTTAGATGAAGGTTTACAGAACAAAATGTTTCTCATTAAACAGTTAGTATACATGTTGCCCTGTGACAATGGTTAACAACCTCACAAGACATCAACACTATCCTTACTCAACCTTGGGTTCCCTATCACCAGCTTCCCTGTCCCCTTCTGCCTTCTAGTCCTTGTCCCTGGACTGCTGTGCCTCATTAGTCCCATTTGGTTTTATGGGGCTGTCCACTCCCTGGCTTGAACGGTGAACCTTGGAAGTGACTTCACCACTGAGCTAAAAGGGTGTCTGGGGTCCATACTCTCGGGGTTTTCTCCAGTCTCCTTTAGGCCAATAAATCTGGTCTTTTTTTGTGAGTTAGAATTTTGTTCTACAACCTTCTCCAGCTCTGTCCAGAACCCTCTATTGTGATCCCAGTCAGACCAGTCGGTGGTAGCCGGGCACCATCTAGCTGTACTGGACTCAGTCTGGTGGAGGGCTTGGTAGCTGTGGTCCATTAGTCCTTCGGACTAATCTTTCCCCTGTATCCTGTTCTCTTCACTCTCCCTTGCTCCCGAAGGGATGAGACCAGTGGAGTGTCCTAGATGGCCGTTCACAGGCCCCCAAGACCCCAAACACTACTCACCAAAGTAGAATGTAGAACATTGCCTTTACAAACTGTGTTATGCCAGTTGAGCTAGATGTTCCCCGAGACCATGGTCCCCACAGCCCTCCGCCCAGCCATTCAGTCCCTCAGGGAGTTTGGATGTGTCTATGGAGCTTCCATGACCTTTCCTTGTACAAGTTGGGCTGGTTTGTTTGGAAACATTTTTGTGTGTTTTTATAAAGTGGTCTTATACAGTATTTGTCCTTTTGTGATTGTCTTACTTCACTCAGCGTAATGCGCTCCAGATTTATCCATGTTGTGAGATATTTTGCAGATTCACATTGTTCTTTATCATTACGTAGTATTCCGTTGTGTGTATGACCATAGTTTGTTTATCCATTCGTCTGTTGGTGGGCACTTAGATTGTTTCCATCTTTTTGCTATTGTAAATAATGTGGCAGTGAACATGAGTGTTGCATATGTCTGTTCGTGGGATGGCTCTTATTTCTCCAGGATACATTCCTATGAGTGGGATTGCTGGATCATATGGTATTTCTATTTCTGGCTTTTTAAGGAAGCACCATATCATTTTCTAAAATCACTGTAGCATTTCGCATTCCTACCAACACCGCACAAGAGTTCAAATCTCCCTGCAACCTCTCCAACATTTGTTGTTTTCGTTTGTGCCAGTAATGTCGGGGTGAGATGGTATCTTGTAGTTTTGATTTGCATTTCTCTAATGGCTAGTGATTGCAAGCATTTTGTCATGTCTGTTAGCCGCATGAACGTCTTCTTTGGTGAAGTGTCTGTTCCGATCCTTTGCCCGTTTTTTAATTGATTTGTCTTTTTATTGTAGAGTTGTTGGATTTTCCA